TAAACTGTATGTTTTGTTTCCATTACTAAAAGCAATTAACGGATCTTGGCTTTTTTTCCTGTTCTTCTGCATCGTGCATGTTAGATATTCTGTGGAACTGAAAACAAGTGATCGCTTAAGCCCAAATATTTGTGAGCAAAAATTGTCTTTCTTCAGAAGGTATATGGTACTGTATTCTGGTAGACCAGTCATCTCCATGACATTGTTACTGTTTGTTGGGGGTTGTTTTTGTTTGGAAATTTTGCAATTAGAAGAAGAAAAAATAAGAATTAAGAACCAGTATTTAATTAAACCTGGATATTTTAAAAAGCAATTTAGAGGATGTGATGGACTGTTTCTTTATTCATTAAATAAAATTTTATTTATTCTCAATTAATTGTTGGGTTTGTTTTGCTTTGTAGTTTGGATCCAGATGATGTAGTGAGATAGGTAAATTCTTGTTCTCAGTGGTTTTCTTTCAGCTCAGGTATTTTTTGGATACACTGCCAGTTTAAAACAGCAATCTCAAAGACCTGTGTTACTTCAATAAAACAATTGTTAAAGCTTGTACCCACTTGTATTCATGACTTATACCCATGTAAGAAGACAGACCATATATTTATGATTTTATACCCACTTTGAAATTGTTTTCACCCATAGGTAGCAAAAAGAGGTGTCTTTAGTGATGCCTAAGCAGAGAGCAGAGGTTAGCCAAATTCAGTCCAAAAACAACACTTTGCTTTTACTGTAAGATGGCAAAAATTAAGTTACTGAGCCTTAATTGTTGAATTCTACAGTTCTACTAACCACAACCCAAATGCATTCTATCTGGCTCATATCTAACAGAAATTTTAGATCTTCATTAGTACAAAGGCCACCTCAATAACTAAGAAGCTGGTTGTATTGGGTGTTATGAAAGATAGCCTGATCCTTCTTAATATCTTTAAATACCAAAAGTTGGAAGTCAATATAGTTAGTTTTTGGTAATGAGGTAAGTGCTGTCATCTTAGTGATGTCACAGTACATATTGTTCAGTTGTTTTTTTGTTTTGTTTTGTTTTGCTTTGTTTTTTAGTTAAGTGGTTCTTAATAATGACAGCAATCATCTGGGGAGAATTTTAAACTATCTACGCCCAAGTCTCACCTTGAAGCAGTTAAATCAATTCTTGAACTGGAAGCCCCAGACTTGGTATTTTTTTCAAGACTTCTAGGTGTGATTCTGGTGAGTGGACAGGGTTGAGAACCACTGGCTTGGTTGGCCTTTCCCAACTTGATAGCTCTCTTCATTTATATATGGTTCTTCAAGACTTCTGACCCTGGGGTTTGGGGATTCAGCCTCCAGCTAGCACCTGGGAAGAGCCCAAATGTAATAACTGATCAAACTGAAAACCTGCCCAGGGTAGTCTTCTTTTATTATTTAATGCCCCCTCTTAAGAATTCTAATGGCATATGTTAGTGGTACTACACTGTTAAAGCATTCAGCTATTCTCTGTTTAAAGTCTTAAAGTTTAAAGTCTCTGCTTATTGATTAGTATATTTGTGTTCTTCTTGGCTGCACACCCAAGGACAAGAGTGGCGCTGAGTAAGCCTGGATGTGGGTAGGTGCTTGATAATATTTGTTGATTTTTTTTAAAAAGGGAGCCCATTGGGATCCCTGGGTGGCGCGGCGCTTTGGCGCCTGCCTTTGGCCCGGGGCGCGATCCTGGAGACCCGGGATCGAGTCCCACGTTGGGCTCCCGGTGCATGGAGCCTGCTTCTCCCTCTGCCTGTGTCTCTGCCCCTCTCTCTCTGTGTGTGACTATCATAAATGAATAAAAATTTAAAAAAAAATAAAAAAATAAAAAGGGAGCCCAGGTAAAAAAAATATTTTTCAATTTCAATATGCCCTGTTGTCAAATTAGAAAGAACACAGATTTTTCTTTTCTTTTTTTTTTTATTATTTTTTTTATTTATTTATGATAGTCACAGAGAGAGAGAGAGAGGCAGAGACACAGGCAGAGGGAGAAGCAGGCTCCATGCACCGGGAGCCCGACGTGGGATTCGATCCCGGGTCTCCAGGATCACACCCTGCGCCAAAGGCAGGCGCCAAACCGCTGCGCCACCCAGGGATCCCCAGATTTTTCAAAGGTGGACAATATAGAATACTGTAGCAACTCTTAGGTGTTTTGGTAATCTACAATCTGTTATGTATAATAACATACAAATCTTAACTTCAAAAAGATTTTATGCTTGTGCTATCCAAGTTTCTACTACATAAATCATAATGGATTTCCCAATGCATAGTTTTTGGAGTTTTATCAAAGACTGGATTTGTTCACTGAGATCCATTTACTTTTCCCTCAAGTGTCTTCCAGGAGAAAATAGTACATTAAGTGGGGTGGATAGCTTAGGGATTTGGTAAGAACTAAATTGCTTCCAGAGGGGATCCTGGAAGCTCAACAGTTTAGCGCCTGCCTTCGGCCCAGGGTGTGATCCTGGAGTCCTGGGATTGAGTCCCACATCGGGCTCCCTGCATGGAGCCTGCTTCTCCCTCTGCCTGTGTTTCTGCCTTTCTCTCTGTGTCTCTCATGAATGAATAAATAAATAAAATCTTTAAAAATACGTAAATAAATTGCTTCCAGAGATTTCAGAAACCCAGAACAGGCAGTCATAGACAAAATATTTAACAGATAGATTCCCATTCTTTTTGGAGAATGGGGATGAGGAAGAAAAAGCATGGGATAAGAACCCCACCATTTTAATTAAATTGTTCCATTTCATAAGAAATTACTGTTAATAACAAAAAAGAAATATTTATTGAGAGTTTATTCTATCCCTCTACAGAAATAAAAATGAAAAGCACAGTTCTCTTTTACAAGGCATTTATAATCTAGAGAGTGGGATATGAACTCTACCGGAAAAAGGACTCCATCTTACTATATTTTTGAGAACTTTCCTGATTAATACATTTTTTTGGTACTGAATTTACTCATTCTCAAACTCTACAAATTTACTGGGTTATTAACAAAGCATTCTGAGTCTAAATAATAAACTATTATGCCCAACGAGTACAGAAGGCAGATGCCCAGAGACTTGCCATTACTTCAAGTGCACACTGCAGTGTGGAGTGTGGCCAGAAAGAAGCCCTGGCATCATCTCTTCTAGAGCTGCGTAGTGTGAGCTATAGTGTCTTCTAAGAGCCTAAATGTTTTAGTCCCTAATTTGTAGTGAGGAAGCGAAGTCCTGAGCCTCCTCAGTTTCAAATATCAGAAGGAAAGGGAAATGCAGCATTGGCTTCTCAAAACTTTCTAGATATAACACTTGTGATTTTATAAGTTTACATTTATGCCCTAGGGAAGACAATTTCACTCATTACAAACCAAATGGATTTTGATAATTAGGGACAACTAAGAAAGTAAAAATACAATGGAGACTTTCTATAAGATAAATTGCGACTAGGTGGCTGCATCTGATGTGAGGCATTGGAATCCATGATAAGTTTGGGGGATGTCACTGTTGTTCCTGTTGACTTGTGAAAATTGCCAAATGCACACATAACTTAAGAGTCCTGCCTTTTCTAGTTATTATTTCTAATTATTATTCCTTCTAATAATGCATGCAGTGCTGATGACCACCAAGTCACTCTTTAAGGGTTTGGTTTATTCATCCAATGGTTAAGCAAATTTATAAAAGTAATTCAAATACCAATACCATGCATATTATTTTGCTCTAATCTTGATTAGCTTTGATGGTAGTGATGCCCTTTTTGCTCCTTTTAATCAGAAATCACTTACATAAGCAACATTTTAAGATTTCTCGGTGCTGGTCATATTTATATATATAATATTAACATATATATTCCTATATAGGGCAGCCCTGGTGGCTCAGCGGCTTAATGCCGCCTTCGGCCTGGGGTGTGATCCTGGAGACCCTGGATGGAGTCTCACCACCGGCTCCCTGCATGGAGCCTGCTTCTCTACCCGTGTCTCTGCCTCTGCGTGTGTGTGTGTGTGTGTGTGTGTCTGTCATGAATAAATAAAATCTTTTTTTTAAAAAAAGTATATATTCCTATATAGGAACAAATATGTATTTTGGGTACTTGTAAGGAATTAGTAGTAATTGGCTTCAATAAAATATTGAGGAATTGTGTATCTACTTACTTAAAAGCTAAATATTATTTTGACTAATTTAATCTTTAAAAAACCATGAAAAATATATCTATATTTCCAGGTTCAGAGAAAGTTCTCAAATTAATTACTTGTACACTCTCATCAGCTTGTCCTTTTTTTTTTTTTTTTTTTTTTACAAAAGGGCACATTTGCCAATTGATGCAATTAAATTTAAACATTCAACATCTTTATTACTCAGGGAAGCACTCAATACCATCGCTCCCAAACAGGCCTTTATTGCCATCAGGAAACTAGCAGGGCACTTGGCATGAAAAACAAACCCACATTTTTATTTATATATTACAAAATCTATTTTTAATAATGTATACATTAAAAAATACAGAGACTCTAGCCCATGTACTCTAGCAAAAGGAAAGTATGAACTACTTCATGCATACACACACAATGCACTAAGCATAAATGCATTTACACGACGGGAAGGTAATTGTTTTAAGCACACACAAGCGATGGATATTCCAACTTCATCCGAACAGGTCAGACTCACAAAGTTTAAGAAGCTGATCGTTTCTCGGAGGACTGAAACTGCAATATAGCCTAATCCTATTTTTTTAAAGTTGTGTTCCCTCAAAGTAGTCCCCCCACCCAGAAAAAAAAAAAAAAAACAGGGAGGAGGGGGCATTTTTTTCACAGCAATCAAAACCATCACAAGATCCATTAATGAAATCTACGAGCTGCTAACAAGGAGGAAAGAGAAAGGCAATAAAATCGTGTCCGTAAGACCGGTGATGCAAATAAAAGCAACCTGAAAGTCTGCCGTTTTATTCTAAGGGTGCATCCGAGGCCACCTGCTGGGGCAGGGGCTGCGGCTCCGGAGCTCCGTCCCCGGGCATCCCACCCTGGCAGGCCCGGCGCCCTAGCTGGCCATCTGGAAGGGCTCCGGCTGGAAGCCGAAGAGCCTCTGGCCGTAGGGCTCGCTCTCACTCGGCAGCTTGGCGCCCGCAAACGGAAGGTAGTGGTCGCAGTGGAGACTGACCCAGTCCCGCTCCGAGCCGAATCGCTCGGCCTCGGCCAGGATACGGGTCAGAGCCATGATGTAGCTCAGCGCCATCTGCAGGGTCTCATACTTGGACAGCTTTTTATCCTGGCCCCACTGGGGCACCACCCTGCGCAGGCGGTCGAAGGCCGTGTTGAGCCCCTGCATGCGGCGGCGCTCGCGCGCGTTGGCCGCCAGGCGCCTGCGCGCCGCGCTCTCCAGCCGCCCGGCCCCCGCGCACGCGCCGGCGCACTGGGCGCCGCCTGCGCACGGGGCTGCGGCGCGCGCTCCCGCCGCGGGGGACCCGGGCTTGCAGGACTTCATCCCCCGGCCGCGGGGAGCGGGGCGCTGAGCTCGCCCGCCCGCTCGGGGCCTGCGCGCGAGCCGGTCTACGGAGCCGCTTCCCCAACGTGGCTCTCCTGAGCGAGTAAGTCATGCACGGAGCCGACTTGCGTGGAGTCAGAGTTTACAGTGGGGAGCGCGCCACCCCGCCTCACGTTACTGGGTGAACCAGATTGATGTCTCTTCGCTTGCTCGAGTTTAGGGGGAAACTAAGGTGCTGAAGACAAAGTCATTTCCCCCCCCAACGTGAAGTTGGAAAAAGAGAAGGGAACCTTCTTGCTGCGGAGTTTGGTGTGGCCGGTTTGGGCAGGGTCTTTCGGGTCCTCTGGGAAAGCACGAGACTTCTTTTTTTCAGGAAGACGAAGTCTTTCCAGATGCTCAGAGAGGGAGAAGGAGCGCTTTTTTCCCCCCGCAGTCGCTGTTGGAGAGTTGCTGGATGCAGCTTTGAAGGAGGAGGATTTATAGCGGAGGGCGGAGGGAGGGAACAGGTGGTGGCAGGTGGGTGGGCGTCCCTCGGCTTCCATCTCAGCACCTTCCTACCCTGGGAACTGCAGGGGGGAAGGGGGACGACGCACAGCAAAATCCTGACACTACAGCCTTCGTCTGTTGAAGTTCCTCCAAAGCTATGTCCAACAGTAACACACCATCTGGAGTGGCCTGGCTGTCCCCGAAAGAATAGCGGGGTGGGGGTGGGGAAAGAGCTGGGTCCTTCTTTTCCCATATCGACGGGCAGCTTACATATCAAAAAAAAAAAAAAAAAACGTGACCGATGTTTTAAAATTATTGGAAATTATTTGTGTGAACATGTTGGTCTCGGAATTAATGAGCTATATTAGAAGCTCAAGAAGATTTAGCTTTGTCAAGATGTATGACAATTTTGGTTAATGCTGGCCTAATGTATTGACATTTTTATTCTAGCTATTAAGTAAGTCGGGACAAGTGAGCAGGTCCTAATATTGCAGACCTGGAATTTTACTGTGCAAATGATTTGGCTATGTTCTGCAGAATAATTTATTGTAACATATCAAAAGATATTAATGGTATATCGAAAAATATTATTCTGATTATATAGTTGGATTGCATGAGTTTGGATACTTAGGCAAATTAACTCAGGATTTATACTCCGTTTCCCTTGAAAGAGGTTCATAGATGTTTTGGGTACATATATTGAGATGATTATTATTTAATTTGACATTTAAATCTAATAAAACCAATCAGAATGCACATATATGTGCAAAATGGAAACGTCTAAGTAATTTGTGAGATTTAAAAGAATAAGTCCAAAAAAATAAGAAAATAAAATAAAAGAATAAGTCCTAGTGAAGGAGTTTTTTCCCCACCTCATAAAACTGTAAATATTTCATACTCTGTAAATGTTTCAGTTATATAAGCTGTCCTCAGGAACAGTAACAAAGAATGATTTCCACTGTTGATAATGATCTGATTTATACAGAGAACCCATTAACTCGATTCTCTCATCACAGCTTTTTTTCTAGCTCGTAAGGAAGAGTAAAGTGGCAAAGAAACCAGCTCCAAATAGATTCAAGCCAGGATCATTTCTGGAATCTTCAGGAATACCAAGTATGTCTCTCTCCTTTTGAAATACGGATTATATCAGCATTTTCTCAGATATTTTTTGTTTAATTCAGTTTTCAACAAACTCACAAATCAGTCCTCTTACTAAACTCTCTTCCCTCACCATTGCCTCAGACTAAAATCCTATTGTGAATGCTCTGACTCCCAAGTCCAGTCTTCCCATAAATAGTTGATTAACCCCAGCTGAAGCAATGACAGTGAAATGAAGTTGAGTAACACGAAGACAATAGGATGCGATTGAACATTAATGATATCCAGTGTGACAGATGTTGAACACAGACTTTTGTGTGGAGCCACTCAGCTCTGTTACTCTGAGTCCTGATAGTCTTAGTCAGGAATGGTAGTCCTGTGATAGGAAAGACTGTTATTTCATCATCAAAATGTCAAATATATTTTTTGAATTTTTATGGAAATCTGTCCTATTAATCCTATTATTTTTCATGTTCATTTATCTCATCCATTTCCCCTAAGGAGCCTCTTCTGTGATACTCTTTGGAATGTTCCCCCACAAAACATACTCTGCACTTATTCTGGAGTACTACTGATCAAACTGCTAATAAGATGCATGATTTTTAATAAATAAATAAATAATTTTTTAAAAAGATGCATGATTTTTCAGGCCACGTATTAATGTTTGGAGAGATTATAGCCTGTGCACCAAGAGAATCAAAAGCACAATTTGAAGAGAAAAAGGAAAAATACCAGTATACACACAACACATAAGAACATAAACGAACAGATATCTATGACATGAAATCGATCCAGGATAGAAAATATTACTGTAATAAAAGGGCCTTAGGCGGCATACAGTGTGTACAGTAAGACATTTCCCAAATGTATTCTGAAGGACAATTTATTAGTACTACAAAGAGGGTATTGGGGAAAGGATTTCATTGTCAAGTAAGTTTGGGAAACATATCCACTATCTCTTCCTTGGAGAGGCATGAAGCAAAATTGGTAAAGTTTTTGCAAAGTCCTAAGGTACAGAAACCTAGACCTTTTTGAACACAGAACGCTTTTTTCCTAGAAAAGCCTTTCACAAAGTTCCTTGGAATACACTTTTTCAAACCTGCTCTAGTACCTCCCATATATTTTATAAAGGAGACAGTGAGATATAGAAACTAAACACTATGCTCAGGGGTATTAAGCAACTTAATGACTGTATTAAAATCTCCTGTATCCTTTGATTTTAGAGGCTTTCAAATTACAAGATCACTTAATACAAGCCACTCAGTTTACAGTGGGGCAACTGAGATCCACCAGTGACTTCCCAAAGTCAGACAAGTCAATAGTAAAGGTTTCAGTAATAAAATTAGAAATTTTGTGCTTAACAGTGTTATTTATTTTATAACCCTAATTTCGGGCTTAGCGGTTCAGTGCCGCCTTCAGCCCAGGGCATGATCTTGGAGACCCAGGATCGAGTCCCATGTCAGACTCCCTGCATGGAGCCTGCTTCTCCCTCTGCCTGTGTCTCTGCCTCTCTCTCTCTCTCTCTCTCTCTCTCTCATGAATAAATAAATAAAATCTTAAATATATATATATATATATATATATATATATATATATATATATATATATATTCCTAGTTTCTAGCACAGTGCCTAGTCAATAAAAGGTAATGAATGACACAAATGGAATGGCTAGAAAAATAAATTAGGTAAATGATAGATGTTAATCAGAAGAGAGCATTCCTACTGAATAACCCATATAAAGGATTTGCTTTCCCTCATATTGTAAAGAATACACTCATTAGCTCCACATTTTGAATGCAAAATTGCAAAGAAACAATTTACTTACTAAAAAATATAGCCATTTGAGCCAGAAGAACATGCATGTCAGGAACTTCCACAATGTTTCTATACTGAGGGTATGATTCTACCAGGTGAACTGGCAGTTACTGTATGTCTCAGGGTTGGCCTGATTTCAAAACTGGCAGATGGAGATGGGGCAGGGTGAGGTGGGGGGGGGGGGCAGAGAATAGAAAGAGCTTACACCTGTAGGAGTAGAAAAATAGGAGAAACACTGTTTTAGAGGAAAAATGACAAGGATACGGGTTCCTGTCCCAGGCTCCAGACATGATTACCTATCTCCAGAAGGTATGGGCTCACCTTAGTACCCCAGGTGATTCTCCAACCCTCATCACTTCACATACTGCTTGAAAATTCTGGCTGGACAGTCTAATTTGGTTTCTCATCGCCATGAACCAGACTGACTTGCATGGTTTGGGCTCCGCATTCACTCTTCTCCATCGTGGATCTTAGCCTCCTCTTAGCGTCTGGCGTAAGCACCATCTTTGGAGTCAGTTTTGAGTCCTGTGTCTCCTGTCAACTAGCTTTGTGCTCTTGCACAAATCACTTCTATTTTTCCATCTGCAAAGTGGAATCATGATACCTACCTCACAGGGCAGTAGAGAGCATTAAATGAGACTCTAGCTATAAAGGACCCTTCCTGGTCCCTAAGAAAGTCACTCTTTAAATGACAGCTAGGGCAGCCCCGGTGGCGCAGCGGTTTAGCGCCGCCAGCAGCCTGGGGTGTAATCCTGGAGACTGGGGATCAAGTCCCACGTCAGGCTTTCCTGCACGGAGTCTGCTTCTCCCTCTGCCTGTGTCTCTGCCTCCCTCTCTCTCTCTCTGTGTGTGTCTCTCATGAATAAATAAATAAAACCTTTTAAAAAAATAAATGACAGCTAATACTCCATGCTGTGAGTAGTTTTTACAAATGATAATGAAAATGAACTTAAGGAATAATTTTTTAATCTTTTACACATAAAGCTACAGTTAGCCATGTGCGAATCCCAGCTGTACAAACTTGGGCAACTTACTTAACTTCTCTATGCCTCTTAACTTTATGTGTTAAAAAGAGGGTTAATAATAGAGCCAATCTTACAGACTGGTATGAGGATTGGATAGTTACTCTTTGTAAACACTTAGATCTGTGCTTGGCATACAATTAAAACAGTATAGGTGCTTGTTTGGGTAAATAGAATGACCTATGGCAGTTGTTCAGTATGTGGACTAGCCACCCCTCCTTTCTGCTCATTTTTGCTTTATTTTCCTGCTTTTCCATAGAGAGAACAGGAGCAGGGAGAGAAGAGTAAATTCAAAGGAGTTCCTCTTCCCTTTTGTTGCTCAGAGCCTTATTGGGCAGTAAGTTCGGTGATTTCATTATAGTTTGATGTTCAATTTTATGGTTACAGACACATATTTTAAAGTGTTAATGTTCAGGGGATGCTCTGTTTTTCCAGTGACTGGAATATTTGCATTCACCATCCAGGGCCTTCCCTTCCTAGAACGGAGGTATTTGAGAAGACAAGTCAATAATCATGATTTCTTTTCATGGGTCTAGAAGCAGAACAAAGGGAATCAATCTAAGGGATGTGCTGCACTGTTCTATGGTAAATTTGGGCCAGAAGCTGTGTTTCTTAGAGTGCCCTTCCCTGTATAGTTCTGGATTTGAGGTAGGCAAAAGGAAGTTACGTGAGCTTTGGGAAGCAGAAGAGAAGCCACCATGCTCTGAACATCATTATAGGTTAGAGGCCATGAAAGATAGTCACAGAGGTGCAGGTGAATTCCAGTTTGTTCTTGAACTTTTTCATTGTGTATCTACTCTTTCCTCCTGACTGCCAGCTCTACTGAGCAATACCTCCCCACCCAGTGTTATTTCAGTGGCTGGATATACATGCCTTCCAGACCTCCGTGCAAGCTCTCACTCTTTCACCAAAGCCAAGGGCTGCTTAGTGACTATTCCTTGATGCTTCAACAACCCTTGCTGGACCCTTGCATTCTTAGCTCCTTCCTGGTGT